CCATATTTTTTTTTTGTAGGAGATGGCTCAATTACTCATTGTATACAGAGAATGGGTGGTGAAAAACTCTAGATGTGTTAGTGTTATGTGTCGAACTTATGAGTTGTGTATTAGTGTTTCATTGCTTTGAGTTGTCTTCTATTGGATTTGTAGGTCTTTAGTCTGTGTTGAACTTGTGATAGACTTATGTTATATTTTTATTTGTAAGTAATAAGTCTACACGAAAGAAGACTAATAAGTAACATCAATTTTTTATGGCTCCAATAGTAGTCTTTTATTTTAGGTTTCTTAAAAAAACTGATTACACAAGTCTATACAAGTAACAGATAATAGAATCCCGAGGAAAAACAGAGCGCCTTGTGTGTCGATTCGTGATAAGGCCTGAGGTACTTTGAGCTTTTGTCTTTCGGATTCACCGTAGTGAATGGCGTCTGTCAAGATCCAAAGAACTCCAAGACCCAGCAATATACCCATGTATGGAGGCAATCCAGTTAGAGACTTAAAGACTGGAACAAAAACCAACGCTCCAAGTCCAACTCCAAAAACTAGTTGCCCTCTTGGAGCCATCTTTTCAGAAGACAATACATCTGATGAATCTTGTCCCTTTCCATTTACTTCACTGAGGAAAGGGAAACCAAAAACTTACATCAATCAGGCTCTGCGGTGTAAACATTTTACGAGATGATGGAATCCAAGGAAATGAGTTTTTAACCTGGAGAAGGACATGAGGGCTAGTGGAACAGCGAGAGAAACGGCCGAAGGTATAAAAAGGCCCTAAAAGGAAAGCAAGTAAACCTCCATTAGGAATATATATAACAGACAGCTTCAAAAGTTAATAATCTAAGACCCTAGTTGTAACTTGAAAACTCCAGCCACTAGCAGAATCAAGCTTTTTATCCAGCTAACAAAACACATGAGCTAAATTTAAGGGATTTAGGCCTGTAACCTTCTTCATAACATTCATCGTTCTTTGAAAGAAAGAACATATTATGTGAGTATCCCAGAAGAGAAGGAGAACCTGAATAGTCGGCAAGGTGGATATTTGACCATGAATCCATAGCATAGTTGTAGTAACATCACCAATTGGACTCCATGCTCCTCCTGCATTTGGTGCTATTACCACAACAGCTCCTAAAATTCTGACATTGGTTACTGAGCATGAGCATTAACGTTAATGTGAGCATAGTACTACTCTACACAAAACAGACTGGTATAACATGACCAATATATGGAAACTTCAGAATCTTAAGGCCTATATCTACAGAGCTAATATGTTTCTCACCATGACCAACTTAACCAAGAAAGTAACTAATAGGAGAGTGAAGAAAAAAAAATTTCATACTTGCGGTACTCTGATTGAGGAACCAGTTTCCTGAGTACAGAAACCATGACAATGGTAGACGTCAGGTTGTCTAGAATCGAACTGAGGAAAAAAGTCACAAAGCCGACTTGTGACACACCATCCATCATAAGTCAAATAAGAGTAAATCCTTAAAGAAGGAGAGACTGAGACGCAATCTAGAGATATATCACTACTTACGACCCATAGAAGCGTCTTGGGCTTACGAGTGGTGATATTGTCTGTAACAAGCTTAAATCCTTGGTGAGCATCAACTATCTCCACAATGGTCATTGCGCCGAGTAAGAAAAACACAATCTCACTTACCTCAGACGTTGCATGTTGAAGCTCTGAAACAACTACTTCAGCTGAAGGACCCTGTGTTACAAGGAATCTATTATCATTAATATATCCAACAAACAACAAACATTAGCAAGTAAGTAAACTCTCTTACCCCTATGCTTCGCACAACCCAGAGACTAACAGCCATGACAAGTCCTATTCCACTTTTATTAAAAGCTAAAGACTCTTCGAAGATTATCCCTGCGTATCCTATTCCAAACAACAATGCCATAGCAACATCCTGTATCATTACATTGTCCACTTATAAGCATATTTTTGAGATTGAAACCCAAAAGGAGGGTTGAGTGGGCAAGAACCTGATTAGCAGCGACCCAGGAATGATTAATGGCAGCTGTTCCTGTAAGAGCTGCAGCAAGAACAGCAATAGCTTTGACAACATCTGTCTTTGGCTGATAATTAGCTTCCAAATAGCTTGAACTAGGTTCATCAACCGAACAAATAGGATCACATGATGAGTCCATCAAATCCTGTGAATCAAACACAACACAAAGACTTAAAGTTCATTCTTTGACGCAAATTCACTCAAAATAGCATCAAAAGAGGAGATGGGTACTTGGAAAAATTGAATTTTGAAGAAGATGATATCGGAAAAAACTCGAACCTTAAGCTCTGACTCATCGATTGGTTGCGACTGTTCTTCCAGAGAAGGTGGTGAAGAGTCTCTTGTCTTGTAATTAAAGTGATACATACATATGTGATATTTTAGTTGTTTGTGGAGACAGATTGGCCATGAAGAGTACAGAAGCTTCCTGAAATTTTATCAGCCAAGTTTGTTAGCAGAACTCTTAACGACATCCTTCAAACCCTGACTAGAGAAGGAGCTTGGCGAGCTGGCTAGAGAAGGAGAGTACCAAAACGATCCTTGACCGTCGATCGTACCATTGTTTCCTGCAATAATATCATCAAGAACTCAACAAAAGCATAGGCAAATATCAAGAACTCAACCAAACAAACTAAGCAATAGTTCATCTAAGATGAATAAGACATCAC